TTAGGTCCCGGAGAAGAGATCAATTGTTTCAAATCAGATAGCTGTGTGTCTTCTGGTTTATGAGACTGCTAGTGAGAAGCAAGTGATGTTTCAGTCGTCAAGACCGCAGAAGCTAGAGTTGAAGCTGCTGACAACGCTCCTGACAGCAATTTGTGGTCAATTTATAAAACAGACTTTTGGTGAATTCTATTTTCAGCTTTATCAAAATCTTCCTCTGACCTACCCGCATGTTGCTGCGAATTATGTGCTGCAGTATTCAAAGATAGAAGGAGGAACTATTTTGGAAAGTTCCAATTTGAGAAGTAACGTATAGAGTTAATGGCATATGTTAGTCACAGATTGTTTGGCGCGTATTATTTGCTATTCGGCCTACTCAAAGAGGACGACACTGAAGTTCATTGTACTCGTGGATCGCTGTTAAACAGTCATACACAGATGCCTTCGCTATTCGGTCTAAGGGATGCTTCAAGGACCAAAAATCCATAGGAAACAATGCTTGATTTACTAACTGTGAACTCTCGAGTGAATCAATGCCTTCCTAAATGAGCATCATTACGCTCCGGGGAGTTTCTTGCCCAGTTCAGGTCTTTGATAAATAAAATGCTGACCAGTCTTGAAGCACATCATGATATAGTTACGATAGAGTATAAAAAGGGAAGGATCAAGTAAGCTTCCTTTAATGTCATAATGTTTAAACGTGGAGAAGGATAACGGTAAACCAATGCGATATCTAGGAACACTCATCTATGAATGAAATAGGCCAGCACAGAAGTGTGTCACTTAAAACGTAGTACCACTAACCATATAACGCACGCTTCCACGACACGTAATCCCAGAAAACAGAAGACGTCTAAACAGCAGGAAGTTTATCAATCAATTGAGAAGGTACAAGGTTCAAGGAAACGCGCAGCGAGACCGGGGATGTGTGTGCCAGATGATTGGTTAGCTGGTTTGAGTGGTAACGAATCCGCGCACGGCTGAAGTAAATGGATCGAAGTCATCCGCGTACGTGGCATCCCCTCATCTCTTGAAATGTTTGTACTCCTGGCATTAACCGGTCAAGGGGCTTATGCGTACGCTGAGATCGGCGAAGCGTTGGTGCATCTGACGATTGTACAGAATCCTGGGGTTTGCTTCCGTTTCCGGCTGAACGGAAGTTGATTCACTCAGACGTTCATCTGCTGTTGTCCCAACAAAACTTGAGCGTACATGGTCCGAGTGTCGCCGTACTATCCGACCATTTCATTCAAGATCTGCTTGGGTACAGTCACCTTTAATTACAGTTGCGGGCTGCCAGCAGTGTTCATGGGGAAGTCATGTGTATACGGGATCACTCGGCTGCCAACTAGAGTCGTGGTCATCTTGCGATGTGACAGCCTTGTGTTGTTTCCTCGCCATTTGTGCTCTATGTTTTGGAAACAGAAGATCCATTCCGGTAGGGAGTGTTCGGCCAAACACCATCTCCGCAGGTGATTTACCAGTGGCTTCCGAGGGCATTATCCTTTAAGCAAACAGCAAGCGATCTAACCTCGTCTGAACAGTTCCTGGTGCTTGTTTCGAGAGACCTCTTTTAATTGTCTGTACCGCCCTTTCCGCTAGCCAATTAGAAGCAGGGTGATATGGAGCTGTACGGACATACTGGACACCATTGCTATTCATGAAGATTTCAAATTCTTTGCTGATGAAACATGGCCCATTGTCTGTGCACAGTGTCTCTGGTATCCAAAATATTGCAAATGACGACGGCATTTTGGAGATAGTTGTCTCTGTATTAGGGTGCGCAAGGGGATAAACATCTATCTATTTCGAATGAGGGTCACTTAGCAGCAGGAAATATACACCGTTAGTGGGTCCAAAATAATCCGCATGGATGCGCTACCATGGCTTTACAGATCAACGCCAATGGTGTACCGCACCGGGAGGTTTATTTGACTGATACTGCTGACACAAACCACATGTTTTTAAATAGTTCGCTATTTCTGTATCTAGGCCAGGCCACCAGCAATAACCGCGCGCCAAGGCTTTTATTCGGGCTACGCCTGAATGTGCGTTGTGGAGTTCGTTTAAGATGAACGGCCGTGCCTTTAGCGGTGGAATCAGGTGGGATCCCCAAAACAAGCATCCATCGTGAAGGCTCAATTCATTTTTCCGTTGTGCGTAAGGTTTAAGATCGACGGGAACTGTAGTAGGCCAGCCAGTTTTTGTAAATCGCACTATAGAAGATAGCGCTGGGTCACGATCGGTCCAATGACGTTTGGCATCACCTGTCAATGGATTGGTGTCGATGTGTCGCATTAGATTTACTAGCTCTAATGGTTCCTCTAGTATTTTGTCTGGGGTCGCATGTGGTAATCTGCTTAATGCATCTGCTCTATGATTGTTCAACCCAGTGATATACGAGATTCGACATTTATATGCACTTACTATTAATGCCCAGCGTTGCGTTCTCGGTGAAAACATCTGCTCGTTTCCCTTTGACTCGCTCAGCAAGGATATCAGTGGTTTGTGGTCGGTTTGTATTTCTAAATAGTTGCCCCAAATGTACTGATGAAACCACTTGACGCTGAACATAACTGACAGAGCTTCTTTATCCAGCTGGGATTAATTCTTTCCGGCGGGTTGTAAAGTTCGTGAAGCAAATGCCATCGGGTGAATGACACCATTGGCTATTTTGTGGCATAGAACTGCTCCGACTCCGTATGGAGAGGCGTCACACTGTAAGATTAACGGGTTTTCACTATCGTAATGGATCAAAACAGGTGCGGAAGCAAGACAATTCTTTGCACAAGTAAAAGTAAATTGATGCTCACTTTTCCATATCCATGGGATGTTTTTGTGTAACAGTTCGTTTAATGGAGCAAGAATGGTCGAGGCATCAGGTAGGAAACGACGATAGTGGGACAACATTCCTAGAAACGATCGTAGTTCTTCGCTATTCTTGGGCTGAGGTGCCTGCACCATAGACGCTATTTTATCTTGCAGGACATGCAAACCGGTTTGGTACAGTTTGTAACCAAGGTAACAAACAGAATTGGATAAGAGCTCACATTTGGACTTTTTTAATTTCAACCCCCACGCTTCCAGACGCAGGAGAACAGTTCGCAATGTGTTTAGGTGATCAGCGTCACTGCGACCAGTAACAAGGATATCGTCCAAGTATGCACAGGTGAACGGTATATCTTTAACTATATTATCCACGATCCGTTGGAAAATACTGGGTGCTGAATTTATTCCAAACGGGAGACGCGTGTACTGGAATAGTCCCAGGTGGGTAGTTATTGTGGTCAGTTCCTGTGACTCATCATCAAGTTCGATCTGAGAGTATGCGTGACTGAGATCTAGCTTGGAAAACTTTTGGCCACCGGCTAAATTCGCGTACAAGTCTTCAATAAGTGGTAGGGAATATTTTTCCACTTTCGACGCTTGGTTGACTGTCAATTTTTAGTCTCCACTAATACGGACGGAGCCGTCAGATTTGAGTGCAGGTACAATCGGGGTGCCTCAATCTGAATGTTACACCTAGACTATGACACCTTCTGATTGCAGACGTTTTATCTTAGCCGCCACTTTAGGGCGCATTGCATAAGTTAATGACCTAGCTTGGTAAACTTTTGGTTTGGCATCCTCTCGGAGTTTGATAGAAGCCTTGAAATGATGCATTTTCCCTGTTTGTTTTCAAACAACGATGAGAACTCGTACAATAATGCATTCAAACTGCCGTCTTCAAAAGTGAGTTGGTTGAGTTGGATGGTCTCGGGAAAAACCTGTATCCAGTCTCGACCCATGAGATTCGGTTTGTTCACAGGTACAACGATTAAGCATAGGGTGAATTCTCGCTCCCCGTGCATGGTTTTAACGAAACATCTGCCCAACACATGAATTGGATCACCTGTGTATGTCTATAATCTCGAGTTGCAGGGTAGCAAACGTGGTAGCTTTTCATTGGACCGAGGTTTACAGTGGTGACCGCCGCCCCAGTATCTAACTCCATGTCTACCGGTTCATCCTCTATCGTCAAACGTATTGTGTAAGGAGGACAGTTGTTGTGTGTCAGACTGTTCAAGTACACGGACTTAAGCTCACTGTTCAAATTTTCTAGGAGCTAATCTTCCTGTAGCACCATCTTGCTTTGACGATTTGATGAGGCGATGTTCGTGGGGCGGGAACTTTCCCATCTACAAACGCGTGCTAGATGACCAATCTTGCCACATTTCCGACAGACACTTCCTTTGCGCTGGCAATCGGAATCGTGAGAGTGTCGCAAACCGCAACGATAACACATAAATTGTTTTCGATGTTCACTGGTGTCTGGTTTGCGGACCGCGTGCACATCATCAACTACCAGCCGACTAGTGAACTCGCGTAATTGGTGGGTAATGTTCTCTCTCTGGCGAACGATGAGACAAACTTTTTCCCACGTGGTAGCCGACTCATCCAAGGATAACAAATTCGCTCTAGCACTTTCGTCCGATATTCCGCGCAATCAAACATTGAATTGTCATTTGCTCTTCAATTTTTCCAGGTGGAATATCATTATACTTACAATCAGGAATAGATTGATGAACATGTGCAATAAAATCATTGACGCTTACGTTCGACTTTTGCACAAGTTTTGAAAAGCAGTATCTAGCAGTGTGAACATTTTGTTTCAGCCCCCGTAACTTAGGATAAGTATCCAAAGAAGAACTGAGGGTGGCATAGTTTTCCAGTTGTAGGGCATCGTAGTGCTCTTGCGCTTCATCGCCAAGCACTTTCCTGAATAGTGTGATTTTGTGAGCCTCAAAAAGACAAACGGTCGGATCCAGTACTGGAAGTAATTCCACGTAGTTAGTAAATGATTTCCTCCATTTTATCCAGTTCCATAAGATCGGTTTTTCATCAGCTGATGATCAAACTATAGGACGTGTATTCAACATTGGGATCGCCATTTTTCTCGTCACTAAAACGTAGTACCACTAAGCATGTAACGCACGCTTCCGAGACACGCCCCCCGCCCCCCCCTAATCCCTGCAAGAAGAATCCCACAACCACTCACCCCCACCCCCCCCCCCACCCCCCACCAACCCCCCCCCCCCCCGGCCCCCCCCCCACCCCCGTCCCCCCCCTCCCCACCTCCCCCCCCCCCCCCTCACCGTCCCCCCTCGCACCCCTCCTCCACCCCCCCTAGCCCCCACCCCCAAGCCCGGCAGCCCCGCCCCGGCCCCCCCCCCCCCCGGTTCTCCATCAACTCCCCAGTTCTCATTAAAGAAAGTTGCAAGCCCCCCCCCCCCCCCCACCCCCGGCCCCGCTTCACGGCCGGCCCCAACGCCCCCCACCCCCCCCCCCCCCCCCCCCCCCCCCCAGTCGATTTCAGTTAGTATCCGGTATGTGAGGACGAGATCTACGCGAAGCCTTCGGTGTTCTGAGGAGAATACCCCAAGTAAACAAAGGTACAGTTCGTAAGTGAGACCGGATAGTCCACGTGTTGCCTTGGTAGCTCTTCTTTGGGAGTGCTGCAAGATATTAATATCGCGTTTTAACCACGAGCGGCAAGCCTGAGCCGTATATTCAACATGGGGACGAAGACATGTGTTGATCGACAATGGTACTAGCCGTCGCTCAGAGGTGCCGAAAGTTCATCTTAAAAGCCTCAATTGCAAGTTCGTCACTTTCGCCGCTATCGAGTATTAGAGAGGATTGCAAAAACTTTCTTGAATGATGAAACCTAAGTCGCGTTCACTAGATGCTTGCTGCAAAACGTGCTATCCCAGAAGATATGTGTTGATAGATTTGCTACACAGTGTCAGTAGGTGGCACTTTTCAGGGTTCAGTAGAATCTGGTTTCATTCGGCTCATTCGTTAATCCGGTCCAGATTGTTCTGGAGATAGGCGCGGTCGGATGCTGAACGAATTGCACTTCATATTTAAGCATCGTCTGCAAATATCTGCATCGGGAATAAAATGTTTTCTTGGAGGTAATTTATTTAAACTAAAACAGCAGCGGACCGAGGACGGACCCTTGCGGAACACCACTGGAGACGCACAGGATTTCAAAGTGAGTTTTGACTATTATTACCTTGATGTCTCTGTCTTCTAGGTACTCCTCTAACCAGGTGAGTATGGAACCATTGATACTGTAGGCAGCAAGCTTTTGGAGGAGAACGAAGTGTCAAATGTCTTAGCAAAATCTAAGTAAACCACTTCTGGGATGGAAGCCTTAACAAAATTACAACTAAAATCCTGCTACTTACGAGTAACATAAAGCACATCTATTGGGACACCTTCAGCTGCTCCGGTCCATGAATCCCGAGCTTTGAGCAGGTTGGTGAGGCAAGATTGTCTGCGTCTGAAACCACGTTGAGTATTGGAAATTATTTAAAGACTCAAAATATCGCGTCATTTCATCTGCGCTTACTGATTGCATCACATTTGACAAAACATCTAGGACAGTAATAGGTCGGTAGTTGGCAGGATCTGATCTCTTACCTCCTTTGTACATTAGAGTGATGATTCCACATTTCCACTCAGGTGGGAGTGTATGTGAGTCAGATAAACCAAAGAAAAAGGCTGCAAGATGTACTGCTATGGTGGGAGTAAGTTTTAAGTACCTTTGGACAGATCTTGTGGATTCTCGAGGACCGTTTTTTCCCTGTGAGACTATACTTTGTTCACAACCGCCTCTGAAGTAATGGTGACACTGGATAAGCCAACAACATTTGTTGGTTGATAAAGCAAATACTCCATAGTATTTGTAGCCACTGAGCCAGACTTCAAGGGTAGAACGTTCGCGGTATCCACAGCAGTAGTCATTAAGCCACTGGCCGTTTTGAGTGGTCGTGTTTTAGGTTTAACCATTGCTTTATCATTCACTTGCCTGTGTAGAAGTTCGTCGTTACTCGCTAGCTTGAGTATCATGGCCTCTCGCCATTCGTACTTGTCTGCCCTAATAAGTGACGTGCAGTAGTTGCTGATTGTTTTGTAATGCTGCCATGACGTATCACATGGGCTTAGCGTATGTTGCTTCTAAATGTCATCTCTTCTGTTGATCCATTTACGTGTTCTGCTTCGGATCCAACAGTTGTTCTGGTGTGATTCTCGTAATGGTACAACTTTTTATGGCTGATTGTATAATCCAGTTAATTTTACCTTTCAATTCATTCCATTCGTCGTTCGCCGAAGTGTGAGTCGGTAGGCCCAAGTCGACGGTTGTGGCTAGGGTGTGAAGCCTGGAATAGTCGGTTGACTCGTTGGTTGACGCGTTCGTTATCAACCATCCTGGCATAACACACATAACCAAATGTTAGGAGTGAATGGTCGCTACTGTTTAGAGGAGGGTCGTGTGAGACTTACTCGATTATCATCTCTTCATTTGTCAAGACTAGGTTTAGTAATGATGGCTTGTTTGAACTGCGGTGTGGTTGGTTAGTGCACAATGTTATACCAAACTGCAATGTCCATGAATTCAAGGAGTTTATATATACATTATAACCTTGCAGGGAAAAGTCAGACAATAGAAAGTACGTAGAAATCACCTTTTGTAATATGATGAGAGTACTTTTTTGATACTGCATACTGGAGTACGTTTAGTAGACTGTAATCACTGTCTGCGGAGAAGTTCGGTGGCCTGTAGACAACCGCTAAGAGGCAAGAATCCCTCGTCTTCTTCTGTAATCCACCGTCTCGACTTGCTAGCTACAGTCAGCAACATAATGCGTCAGGAAAAACAAGGGAATATCCGATAACGGCCTCACATTTAAGCTAATCTCGATAGTAAATGGCAACGCCGCTAACGCGAGATGGATGATCATTGAGAATGGGTGACATTCCACTGAGTCCAATCTCTGGATCTAGTATGTCGTTAGAGAGCCAAGTTTAAATCACTGCTACGATGTCCCAGTTTGATGTTTCATGTCGATTGTGTACTTCGGGCATCTTTGAGTAGAGGCCTTGAGCGTTGGTGTAGCAGCATTGTATTTGTTGATGAATTAGGATCTCGATTCGCTGTGAGTGACCGGCACGAATAGTGCCGGTCTGTTGGAGTATTTTGTAATGTGTGTTTTTACAGTTGACCTGTCTGTGATAGAAACAACCGAGATTGACTCATCTGTAGCTGGGGTTTGTACTGCGTGACGAATAGTCTTAAGCGCACCTCTGGAGGCCGAAATTTCCTGTTGTCATGCCACGCTTGGATTGCCATTGTTACCATCTCGGGAATAGAGAAGGTAATGCTTCTAAGTCTTTCTTGGAGATAGGAGTTTGTTGTTTCAAAATGGCAAAACAATCACAGCCGCAGATTAAAAGGACTAAAAAAGTAACCCTACTTTTGAGTATGGATGCTGTGGTAGCTTAGAAGGCTAATGGATTACAAGCGTACATTATCAGCTAGTAAATTTATAATTTCTCTATTTCTCTTACAATTTTAACTGTGCAACACCTGGAACCTTATGCTAAAGAATTCTGGTCTTACTACTAAAAGAACGCGACTTTAGTAACATTTGTACAAACACGGATTAACAAAATGGCTTTCTGTTACCTTTCAAAAAGCTTTGTACATTCAGTAGCAAGTAAACGAACTTGCGTACAAAAGTTTACAGACCACAAGTTCTGCAGTGTGGATTTAAAGGATTAGTAATTATCAGTCCTGCCCTAGACGCGTACTCATGCGCAGATAACACAAGTTAAATGAGATCGATCACAAAATCTATTTATGGCCTTACAACGAGAAGTGGATAGATGAAACGCGCAGTGTCAAATGTTAACTCACTGACTCCCCGGGCAGAAAAGGGGCAGGGGATGCAAGCAGCTAGACATCTATGATCGGAAAGACTAAAAGTAAGTAATGTTGGTGCAATCGAGTCATGAGAAATGTAAACACACCTGATGTAAAGTATCTCTTCTCCTTCAATGTTAGGAAACACCCTTTTGGGCTTTTGCAGTCTCAAAATATCTTTATGTTTGGAGGCGAGACGGTGTATAGAATGTACTATCGGCAGAGCCCTCAGCAACACAGCTTGAATCAAATCATTGCAATGCAGTTAATTCATTATTTATTAACATTAACTACAGGAGCCAAATACCTCGACTTTTGTGTTGCAAGGTAAGTTAGTTAGAAGGTGATAAAAGGGAACAACAAATAATAGAAATGTACACCGATCAATAGTGTGCGTGGTACTTGTGATTGTTGCTGGTGCGAAGGCTGAGCTAGAAGAGCTTGTCCTCAAATAACGTAGGAAATTCATCAGTTTATCAGTGGACTCCTATGAACAGCAAAATAAGGTTTGCGTAGCACGAAGCGACTGACCAATCCCCTGAAGGCACCAGCAAGCACCACAAGATCTGGTGCATTATATTCACTCAGAAACTCATGAATTCTATTATAAATGTGTCTTTAACCAATGCACAACTGCAGGCCTTAGAAGGGTAGACACAGAACACAGACAAATAATTTGTCTCTCTACAATCTCTGTTGAATCTGCATTATTCACTAACCTGGCCTACGCACAGTCGGTTGTCATTGAGGACTTAGGCTAGAAACACAACTCGACTTCATCTCCCGATACCATGTTAACAGTAGTCAAGCCTGCTGTAAGTCTTTCTGTGTCACCAGATGGATGGAATAAATATTTGCTTCTAGTATTAGCAAATGATGGTGAGTACTGATGAGTAGTAGTGAGGATTTTGGTGTAATTCAACTAGTTCATCATGGTCACTTCTAATCAGCAGGCTTAGGCTAGTCTGGAAAAGCACCAGTCACCCGTGTTTCGACCTATGGGTCTCGTCAGTCGTCCGCCTCCCAGCGGACCGCTGCCGGGTTCCACCCCCATGACTTCAGGATGCCAGCAGCTAGTGACGCTTAGTCATGGGTGCCAGCCACTGACCTGTTGTTGACTGATATAGCCCGGCTCATCTCCCACTGCCATGCAAGTTACGAACTGTGCAGAGGACAGTGGCTAGGCTCACGAGCCAAGACCTTCCGCATAGCGCCTATGTACGACGTAGGATTTAGAAGCTATATGGACAGATGGTAAGTTAAATACGGTGCTGAAGACCTATGATCTGGTCTCAAAAAGCAGCAAACATCAATACTGTTGCATTACAGAGTGTCCGCTAGGCCTGCTAACTGTTCAAACTGCTCGTGGGTTCGTGCGGTGAAGGTGGCTAGTTAGAATGACGAGCAGGGTCGAAGAAGGTACACTAATCGGTTCTTTGGGTATGGGACGTATTGTTAAATGTGAATAACTAAAACAAGACACTGGCATGTGATGGAGATGCATGAGTAGTTAAGCAGGCAATCGCAGCACAGTTGGCAGTCGAGTAAATGGTAGTATCAAGGGGCTTAGTATTTTATGGTTGCCCATAAGAGGTAAAACATTGACGTAAGGGATATGATCCCGATCCTTTGGCTAAACAGCCTACAAGCTAGGCAGCAAGGAGAAATCTAGGATACCATTTCTACTGAAAATCCATGCACTTTCCGTATAGTTGGCCTCCAAAGTGACCCCAATTTCAGCGGCAGTCTACAGGAATACAGCGTTCCACCGGTATGAAGCAAGTGCTAGTAACCTTATTTACTGGTGGGTCATGCGTCATATCACGTTGTTACTAAGCGGCATTCTTGATTTTCTACGGATCAAACACACCATTGGAGAATACATCACTTTCAGCAATACTGCCGCCCATGCGTTATTCAAAACTAATTCATCCAAAAACCAGTTAGTAAGCTTCACGCGGGGGGTAATTCAACAAGCTAGCACATTCAGTTGTTCAGTTGTCCCCCGAGTTTAGCAACTCTGGGTCGCAAACGTTTCGTCACCGATCGAGGTGCGAGTGTCAGTGTAGATCTGGTTGTAGCTTGGTCGTGGAAACCGTACCAGACAAATCCAGGGATGGATGCCACTAGTTACTGTGTCGGTCCTTACATAGCTTACCGACGATATTAGGTGCACCTCATTCTAAGTAGCCGTTCCTTGATGTATTCAATGGGACTTGAATGGTTGCCATGATAAGGTTAAGACGTGGTAAGGTGCCCGCACTTCTATTGTCTTCCGTTGATGCCTCATCCTGGTTGGACGTTCATCGATTTGCTCATCCCTTGTCTTATTTACTTTCTTACTGGATTCAGTGATACGCGCTTTCTGGTCGGACAGAAGCTGCAGCCTATCTATGGACACAAGGCGATTGTTGCCTGCCGCTGCCCGGCGATTAGCGCGTCACTTTTGCCGAACACTGGCGAACTGATGCAATCCTCACGAAGTTCCCATGTGCTCAGAGAAGTCGAACCGGATATATTCCGGATTGTCATGCGCTTTATGTACACCAACTGCATTAGCTTGATAAATCTGTCCATCTTCAAAGTGAGTAGTGATATACTTTACGGGGGAATCTAGTAATCCACTTCAAGCTGATCGATGTTTTGAAGGCTTCTTTGCGATTCGAGTTGACAGAACTGACCAAGGTGAGCCTGGAAAACGCGGTCCACAATTATTCTACTCCTAGCTGGCCGAAAGTCGCCTGATCACCCTCATTGACAAGAACACTGTGTTCGAGGTACTTAACCTGGCGGTAAAGTATAAAAGTGCTGACCTGAAGAATGCCGCCATTAAGTTCATCTCCCACTCCGCCAAAGTGAGTCCGTGACCAAATTATTGCACAGCATTTATGTTTGGACAATGGCTTCACACGTTAGGTGCATTGGCCCTTATACATTTGGTCCTTAGCTGTAGATGCTGTGATCAACCACCTATGCTTACTTCTTGTAATTTATAAAAAGGCATGTTATCTGCATCCGTTTTTGTTTTTGACTTTAGCTATTGCTTGTGTGACATTACCTTGAGTTATGAGGTTGAGCACAGCCATCGATATGGGCTGCTGAGTAGATCACTGGCTACATTGTTAGGGACAATATTAGTGAGTGTGATCAGTTCAGAAAGTGTCATCATATTGAAAAATCGATTTTTCTACTTTTTTTAAGGACCTTTCCCTTTTCTAGCAGACCTATTTCTGTAAAAGACAGTCAACGACTGAAACATGAAGTCCTTTGGCTACGACCGCTCAAGAATTGACACGCGCTATGCTTGACATTGGCTGTGTCAACTATTTGGTTGATTGTCCCAAAATCTACCGAAATTTTTAGCAAATATTTTCAGTCAATCTGTATTTTTATCCATAACATATTTAATCAGCTTGACGTCCGTTGTCATCGACCACGTACTGCGAACGCTCAAGCAAGCTGTCGATGCCACTATCATAGAGGCAGCTGGGCTGACTGTCAAAGTATTTAGTGATACACCTTCCGATAGGCTCGCCTTCATCAAATTTCTTGTTCCTGAAGTTATTAGGCATAGACCGAAAATGTCGGTAGTTCGTAGGCCAAAGGTCCGAACTATTTGCTGGATACGTCAGATCTCCTATAACAAACTGTTTACTGGGACGTGTCACATATGCTAGTAGAGGAGGGGCGTTGTTATGCAGGAGAAGAATCCGAGCCTCTCTTATGTGCTGTGTTCGTTGTTCATCTACCATCCTTCGCATATGTTGGCGGTAAACCTCGACACTAACCTTGAAATTATCAGGCAGTAGCAATCAATAGATGACGCCCGCGGCTATTCCACCAGACCGACAGCATCACCTTTTTGCCCTTTTGGGACTTGTACTGGCGTTTCCGCAGCTGCGATCCCCTGGCGTCACCTGCTGTGGTTGGCATGGAGCACCCAATTCTCGTGTTCAGTAGTGACATCATTTAGCCACTGATGATTGTGCACTCAGATGAGCAATGAAAGTACGATGGCACGACGGTCCAAAAGTTGTTCATCAGTCAATTCGTGTGGTACGAGTTATCCTAGCATTGGGACTATTCCGCATTAACACGTGTAGATGAGATGTGGTTCTTGGAAGGCCAAGCTGTAACAAAACTTCACACACTGCCTGCGGTCCTGCTTTAGAGAGTGCTGGATTCAATTGGCAACATCCGCCGGCTTACGTCCTTGAAATTTGATGTTTGACAATTTGTCTTCATCACCATCATCATCGTCAACAGCAATACATCAGCCATTTGAACTGATGCTTCGCTGCCATACAACCATGATGACCTATGAAATAAAAGATAATAAGAGGGAGAGAAGGCAGACTTATCGGAAAACCTTAATGCCCTAAGCAAACATTCAGGATCAAGGCGCCTACACCTTATGTTGACAACATACCGTCACAAACAGCTGGCTATCGTACAAAGATAAGGCGACATCGCCGAGGCGGATTCCTTGCGGCTTTCATTTCTCCGCGTCATAATCAGCCATTACCCCACAGATAACTCAACAGCAAACACAGTTTAGACAGGCAATCCGATTAGGAGACGGCAGCAGACGCGCCACTGGTGTCGGTTGTGAGCTATGTCCTGTAAAGTCTCGAGCCAAGCACAGGGCGGGTCACGTGGACTTCAGCCCGAAAGACGAGACGGACCAACAGCACTCAGTTTGGTCATCAGTAACTTCATTTCCCGCTTCCAAATCAACTTCTGTCCACCTCGAGCCTTGCGCCACTGTACAGCTGGCAGACTAAACAAGCCCCTCCTAGGTAAGCGGTGACCAGACATACGTAGCACGTTCCCGAGCCAAAGCAACTTATTCAGTGCTATCTGTTGTTCTAGGGAGTTAGCATGATTAGCACTACCTAGTACTCGCCTACGCACATCATTGTTGTGGACACGCTGGGGCCATCCGACATCAGCAATGCTACGCAGACCACAATGATCAAAGACTTGAAGGTGCCTCAGATCTTCAGACCGAAGGGAGCAATGTCTCACTCTCATAGAGCAGAACGGCCATCACTGTGGCTTTGTACACACGGTCTTTTAGACGGAGGAAAACCCTTCTGTCTCCAAAAATGCCGCAGGTTCAAAAAGACAGTTCCGGCCTTTGGAGTGCGTGAACTAACTACCGTTGCTATGTGCCCATCGTTGTTGATTCAGCTACAAGTTAATTAAATTAACCACCTCGAGTTCGTCGTTAGCAAGGGTCAAGGAGTCATAAAGTGGCTGGTAGTCCTGCAGCAACACTTTGCACCTTGGAGGTGAGCACTGCATGCCAAATAATGGGACCACTCTGGACAGGCTATTCGGGGTTGATTGTGCCGCCGCACCATTTTCGAAAAGCAAGACGATATCGTCCGTATAATCCAGGTCAACTAACCTTTCACCAGGCAGCACTTCAACGCCTACATCGTTGGATTCCGTCAGAGAACACTCCATGATAGAATCCACGACGAAGTTGAACAGAAATGGGGAAATCGGACAACCATGACGAACGCTACTTGTGGTCGGAAAGCTATCCGATAAGACCCCATAGACCCTGACACGGCCCTTAGCGTTCGAGTATAAAACACGTAAGATATTCACGTATTTCGTGGGAACACCTTTCCGCGCAAATATTTCGAACAAAATCGATCGCTCGACTGAATCGAACGCACTCTTGAAATCGAGGAACACAGCTATTGTCGGTCTGCGGTATGCATGGCGCTGCTCTAGCACCTGGTCTATACAGCCACGTCCTGGGCGAAAACCGGCCTGCTCTTCCCTAATCCGAGATTCCCGTTCCACAGTGAGGCGAAGAACGAGAATCGAGGCCAGTAATTTTGTCACAACTGGCGTTAGACTAATGCCGCTGTAGTTAGAACAGTCTGTGCGACTGCCCTTCTTGTATATTGCCACTATTATCGATTCGCTCCAATCAGCCGGTACACGCTCTTCCTTCCAAATACGTTGGAATAGGGTGGTCAGTGCTTTGCAGAGGACTGCACCTCCATCCTTAAATAGTGCAGGTGTGAGGGAATCCTGGCCAGGGGCTCGAAAACGATTGACGGCTGTGATCGCGTTTCGGAGCTCGGCCTCTGACGGAGACTCTAAACTAACCGTCCATGGCTCGTCCTGCATCACCTGAGTAGGAAGAGATCCGGGAGCAGAAGGCCAGCTGAACTGCTTTGGAAGTGCTTCCCCCAAGGAGCCATCCGGCGCTCCTTATTGTGTATCAGAGCACCCAAGCTGTCTCTGATTGTCTCACTGACGCCTGATTTCCTGGGACCAGTGGTGCGGATCAGGTGGAAGAGCCTACGGTAATTGCTTAATGCTCCTGCTTCCTCCATTTATTGAGTCCTACTGGTCCACCAGGCTTCCTTGTCAGCACGTAAGCTCCGCTTTAGTTCCCTAGTTTTAATCGATTAAACCGAAATGTCACTATACCATAACTTGGAACATCTGTGCCTAATACGTTAAGCAGGTTCCGAGCAGGCTTGACCCGTTTTACGCCCCTGTATGAACACCTTCAACCAGTATCTGTTAATGGCATGTTGCTCATTTGCCAGTACTGCAACCATTGCTAAAATGCAGGGTAACATGTCTACTGTTCCCTGGTTTGCCCTTAGATACTCATATTTAAGAATCGTTACAAAACTTCTGCAATAGTATCTAAGAAGTTTCAATTGATTTTGCGACAACGCGGTGCTTGTGGTTTTGTCTCTCACAGTGCTGATAAGTAGCTGTGCTGAAGTAGGGGTTTCTATCTTATACAACTACAGTAACACAATCCTGTGGTTACAGGAATTTGTCTGATAGCTGGAAACGATCAAACTTAAACTAATAACCAGAGGATGCCTATTCCTTGGGATTCAGCGGTAGATCAGTGGTCAACAACCATATCGTAGATTTCCTTCCCAAGGAGGACCACAGCATTTAGAGGTGCTTTGAATGTCACGATTTGTATTCTCCCAAGATAAGACAGTAGCCTTACTTCCAGTACTTCATCACATCTTGAAGCCTGTGAATCGAAAGGCGATGCCGACGCTGCTAGTGTAGTCGAATTGTAAGACATGGTTCAGCTTCCATAAGACAAGAAGTCTAGTCCACTTTGTTTATTTGACGGATGCTTCCATGGAGCGCTTGGTAGCCATACATCAATATGTAGCTCTTCAACGATCCTAATCGCCCTCTGAAAGTTTCCTCAATAGGAGTCTAAGGGTTACACAACACACGACACGTGATGAAGACTCATCTTCTCTCCTCTCGTATATGGGTTGCACATCAATCTCCTAAACTCACAATCGTCATCCCTAGCAGTAGCCGTCTTCGATGAGCGATCCGGCGGTACACGAACCTAAACCACTCTGAACCAGTCTCTTCTGTCTGGTCTCATGCAGAGAGGATAAACAGACTCCTGCTGAAGCAAGTGGGTCTTTTCGCTCATACAACGTTTCACAGTATGTCCAGTGCTGGACGCCTAACACATACAGGCAAATGTTTTGCCAAATGTATTTATATCAGTAGGAATAATTACCGAACCAACTGAATCGCTCATTGCTTTTCCCTAATAAACCACCGTTTTAGTGTTCCGCAGCGCATTCATTTTATGCGCAAGACGTTTCGGATGAACGTTTAAGAAGTAGCTACCTTTCATGCATTCAGTGATAGGAGCACCCAACGTGAGTCAACCGGTGGTCCAAAAGCAAAATTAACACATGCGTTCACGGGACACAACAGTTGTAGCCGTTCTACAACGCGTCTACGTTGATTAGTGGAGGTATGGCAGGACCATTATGTGCCTCTGCTGTGTATTCAAGTGGGTCAACGGAAGAATGTAAACTGACAACTTTTG